TATAAAAAACAAATATATGTTTTTAAAGGTATCTATTTGATTATTATAACCCTTGTAGAAACATATATTTGTATTTTCAATTGAGGTTTTCTTTAGTGAGATGAAATTTGAACTCAAATGTAAATCTAAAAAGCAAAACACAAAAAATATTAAACACAATTATTGATTAAGGACTATAAATTTTTTTTTTTTTTAAAAGCTAAGGAAGAAAATTTTAAAATAAATTGTTACTTTTGAAGAAACTTATTAGTTAAAATATCAGAAGAAGTGGTCCTTATATGTAGCGCTTCATAAATTGTGATATAGGAAACAACTCTACGAAGGCGATCTGATCCCTATGGACTCAACATCATGACGTGTTTTATATAAAACATTTACATAATATTTATTTTATCGTAGAGATTGATATAACTAAATGCTACATACTAACTACTAGCTACAGAAATACCAATTTAATTATTATATATTACGTTCGCGGATGACACTGCTATTTTTGCTACTGACAATGATCCCATCCAAGCTGCCCAAAAATCCAAAACCACCTAACTGTGCTAAACACCTGGTTTCGCGACTGGAAAATCCAAGTTAACCCATCAAAATCCTCTCAAATTACCTTCACACTTCGATCCTTAGAATGTCACGCAACCTTTATCGGCAATGCACAAATTCCATTTTCCACACAAACTAATTATTTGGGTTTAATTCTTAACAAACGCCTTACATGGGGCCCACACTTAAAAAAGAAGCGTAGAGCTCTCAATTCAAGACTCCACCTTCTCGGACCCTTACTCCGCTATAAGCTCTCAATAAAAACCAAAAGAACAATATACATGGCTCTTCTAAGACCCATGTGGTACTATGGCATACAACTTTGGGGCTCAGCCAAACCCTCAAATACTAGAACAATTCAGGCATTTCAGTCTCTTTGTCTACGTCTAATATCAGGTGCCCCTTGGTATATTACCAATGAATCACTTTATAAAGACATCTGCATTCCAACCTTAAACAGCCTTGCCAAAATCACCTACAAAAAAACACACAAATCGTGTCGCCAATGGGCAACTTCCCCCTCCTGTAAATCAATCCCCATCACATTTACTTATTGTATAACATGTAAATACAGATTGTAAATATTATGTTTTGTTCAAAAATAAAAAATAAAATAAAAATTATTATATAGATAATACTAACCTCGTATTGTTTTCATCCAATTCTCTATGGTTGGTACAACACATGTTTTTCCATTTTTATTAACAAATTTCATTGTGGAAAGAACTTGAAGACTTTCCGCCCAAAGTGCATGATGAGGAGAGTTCTTTTTTATTGATGTTCGATAAATTTTCCCATCTATTACTCCATCAAAACTACCATTCAAGGAATCGAATAGCTTATCGAAGAACAAACATATTTTTGCTGTGTCATTAGCACTTGAATCAATTAAATTTTTAGCTGTTAACACGTTGATGGACAGCACATGCTATAGCATTCGCCAACTTTTGACCCCTTATTGGATCAGTTTAATTTATTAAGTTTCAATTGTCCAATACTGATGAATGCTATAGCAGTCATGTAACCCTATGACTTAAAAATCATGAATGCTATAGCATGTGCTGTCCATCAACGTGTTAAAATAATAAAAAGGGGTCAAAAGTTGGCGAATGCTATAGCAGTCATGTCCATCAACGTGTTAACAGAATGTGAAAAGGCTAATTAGTGATTAATTAGAAAACAGATTTATATGCTAATGTATAGTTTATTAGAATGTTATAACTACAAAATAGACAGAAATTGTACTCATTACTTACATGACAAAAACATCATAGTGGATGACACACGCTGTGAAAAAATTTGAGTCGCACATTTCACCTTCATTTTCGAAATTTTTTCTGGCACTACATGTTGATCGGTAATTCGGGGTAACATTTTACAATCCGGTATTGCACTGTCAATATTGTACAGATCTTGTATGTGGGACCACTTTGCACAACCTTTCTCCCCATTCATTGAAAAAATTAAATCTTTTGTTAAAAGGTTATTTCTGATGCATTTTATCAAATGTGGGACATCAAAAATATGAACAATCTGGATAGTTTTTTGTTCATCCACTTGTATTTCATAAATATCATCTGTATATTTTTCATTGCGCTTAATAAAAAATCCTTTTGTCTCATTAATTAGAAGTTTTATAGCACTTTCATTAGAACGTCCTTGGTCAGAAATTGTCGCTACTATTTGTAAGCCGGTCTTGTGGACTTCTCTTACAACCTAAAAACAAATATATATCTTTATATTTATGTAGAAGTTAATACAATGTTGTATTAACTTCACGTGGGTTGAGGTTGATTAAATAAAAGCATTAACACAACAATGTCACGTAAAATAATTGTGTATTATAACTCTAACTTAACTTACTCTGTACAATCACAATCACGGTTCATTTCACACTGACTAACAACTTATGATAAGAGATATAATACCAAATAAGATACAGATAATCCCACATTTATGTATCGAATATCATAATTAATTTTATTCTTACTTCTTTCAATAAACATGCCAATTTTTCATGTTTTGTAGCACCTTGACAAAAAGTATATGCTACTGGTTGTTTAAATTTTTTTTTTATGCCACGGATCATAAACACCAGTGCATGATCAGCATACTCTTGATTTCTGTTAGATGCACTGTCAACAAACCCATCAATTTGATCTGTCGCTTTGTTGTAATGTAAACCACTGCTTAGACACACTTCATCGAACATCAATGAACAAAATCTATATGAATGTATAGTTTAATTATTTTATTATTTAAATGTTGATTTAAATGTAATTTTGGTTACCTTTCAAGTGGTTTCAACTTTTCAGATTTTTCTTTAAGCACTTTCATAACTATTGGACTGACTCCAGTAGTTATCGACACACTGCTTAAAACATTTTGTAATGTTTTAGGGCTTGGCAGAGTAAACATGATGGACAACATACGATAGCATTTTGGGCTCCGCTTATACAAAGATAAACTCATTATTTTTTCGTCTAAAGTGAATCTTCGACCTTTATTTTTTTTTTTGGTTACTCTTAATTGCAATTTAGTAAATAACGAAGCGGCGGTTGTCATTTTCTCCGAAAAGTTATCATTAAGATACTTTTCAGACATACGCTCTGCTGCCTTTAATTTCTGCTTAAATAATTGTTTTTTGGCTCCTTGTTTTTTAAGTTGCTTTATTAATTTGTTGGTAATACCATAAAATTTTCTGCAATTAGGCGTTAGTTGTTTGCAACGACTAAATCCTACTTTTTTTAACAGACCTAAAGTTAAAATTGATTACATTAGTTAAAGTTTATAGATGTAATATTATTACTTATTATTAAGGCAAGAAAGTTTTATAATAATGTAAAAAATTGGTAGGTACACTATTAAATTTCGTGCCCTAAATATTATACTAAACGAATAAGCAAAAATACCAGATTGATTATTTGCATTTTTTTGAGCAGCTTTACTAACTTTTGAGCTTCCAGCTACACTACTAGAACCTATTTTATAAGCAAAAAAAATAATCAAAGCATTAAAGCATCACATGCCAAGGCAGTGAATAGCCAATATTGGTGCAATAAATATAATAGTATAATAAAATAAATGAATAATTAAATAACAATAATACTTGCATACAACTCGAAACAAATAACTTACTCATGACATTATCCATAATTATTGTAGTTTCTGTATCAGTATTTTCCAAATTCAAAATTTCAACTCCAGATACATCAAGATTATCTAAAAAACCAAAAATACTCAATGTTATCATAATGCTATAACCAGTTGTGTGGTGAACAGTAATTTCAGAGGCAATAGCTGAGATTTTTCTTAAATAGAGGGGTTGGTGGTAACCGACGGGTCCCCTAGAAAATGTAATATGATATACTCAATAGGTAGTCAATACTGATCTGAAATATAATTAGTTATATTATATTAATACATTATTATGCATTAATACTTGGGATATTTGTAACTTGCCTTTGGAAAATTTTCAGTTCGCCACGCCACTGACTATATCATATGACATATAAATATATAATTTAAAATGATGTAGTATTACCTGAACTACAAAGCGATGGAGGATCAGCCACTTTAATACTTGAAACATTATCAACACCATTACAGGAGGTTTCCAAATTGAAATGTTGGTTAGTCGGTGTGCTGTGTTGTTGTAATGTCTGGTGCTCAGATGGAACATCATGTATAAAATATGTAACCTCACTACTAGACACTATAATAAAACATACATAATAAATAGTATATCAAAAGTGTGTTAGTAATATTATTTACTATTAAGGTATTTGTTATCTTGTTTAATATTAGTAATAAGTACCAAATAATTAATGAAATCTGAACTTTTACTGTTAAATAAGTTTACTCAATTTATTTTATAAATTATTATTTTTGTTAAAAAAATTATAAATAGTATTGTTTTCTTAATGCTTAACCATTGGTGTACAGAAATAAATAGAATTTTAATAGGGAAGAAAAAAATTCACCACTTGGAATCTGATCCGATGAAACTAAAAGCAAATGTCTGGCACGCTAAACATTCTAAAAAACCAAAAAACACCCTAGGAAAATTCAACAGTGTTGCTTAATAATTATAATAATTTTAATTTTGATTTTTTGTGAAATTTATAGCATTTTAATATTTTGTATCTTATTAAAAAAATAAATTATCTACTTGTTTATACAAAATATAAATATCGTGTTTTTATTTTTTATCATCAATTATAATTTAAGAAAATATACTACATTATTTTTATGAATATAATTAATAATAATATTATAATATATTTTAATATGTAATATTTATGAAGTATCGATAATATTGATAATACAGATATCGATAATACTGATATCGATGTTGAGGTATCGATATTGGGGTACCGCATATTCGATTGTACTTCATGTTCCCAACCACACGGAGCGCTAAACGCAGTCACCATACTTTTGCATTGAGTTGGTTATCTATAAAGGTATACTTGTCTATGGTCGACAGTCGTACATGTGCGGTTGTCTGATAGTGTCGTAGTAGTTTTAATTAACAATAATTGGCGTATATTTAAGTGTATCGACTCATTTGACTACGGCACACGCCGAGCTACTATTTACAACACTGTTATGTATTTTATAATTAATTGAGTAGTCATCAAAACGATGAAAACCACCCCGTTCGGCGTTTGCATAGCCGTCTGTGCCTTGTTCTTCGCATTGGACTCAGCGTCCGCCGAAAAAGACGTGAGCGCCAAAAGTGATCTTAGTGAGTATAATTTATTATTTTCCACTATAATCACATTGCCTATAATGTGGGTTATTTTTAAAACCAGTACGAAAATAAGCTCTCGATGTAAAATTGTAAACAGGACTTGTCTACGCCTCTGCGGTTCTGAATTAATTCAGCTTCCAGAACATATTATAATAGTCCCAAAAGGAAATACCCAAATCCACTTTATATCTCTGAAATTAATTTCTAGGTATTATTTATGTATGTGCAGTATACCAGTAATTGGAATAGTATTTTATTAGACATATTATTATTACTTATAATTCAGAGGTACTTAGGTTTTATTATATACCTACCTTATACAAAATAAAATAAAATCCACCCTCAGCTTTTTATTTGATTACCTGTTCATTAAAGTCTTTTTCTGGCTGAATTTGTATTGAATCAACACCCCAGCTGTTTAATTAATTGATATTCTATTATTATTTAAAAATATTTGTAATTGTACGACGTAATAGCCAATAATAAATAAGTACCTAGTCAATAAATAAAATAATAGTCAATATTGGTATTATTGATATGCACGTAGTTTAAAATTTTTTAGAAATTTGATACTTTAAAACATTTATTATTATTATTATTATTATTATAGTGTATTATAATGTATTATTTAAATAGTAAGTTTCATTTTTGATTTTTGATTATGGTGTTGGGGTAAACTTCCTAACACCAACCTCTTACCTCTATATCAACACCACCGAATAAGAAAATCGGAATATTATACTCAAATTGTGTTGTATAAAAAATAAAACACTTAAATTCTATTAGGTATCTACTAGAACCTATTTTACTTGTTGTAGACATCATAGCTACATCAAATTAATTGACAATTAAAATGTTTTGATTCAAGAAAATAGTAATGGACAAATGTGTACAATCGTATACAATAATTATGAATTGCTAAGTATCACTTGAGCTTAAAAATACAAATGTTATATTTACTCTTGCAAATTTCTAATCTTATTTAATCATTTTTAATTTTATAAATTATACTCTGTCATTATCCATTGCTTTTTTTTAAATTTAAATTGTTGAATAATTATTTTTTTAGATGCTAAATATATTATTATTTTTTGCAAAAAACTATTAAAATATTGAAGCATTGAAAATGCTTGGTCTAGTAAGAAAAATAGGGAATGAGTGTATGACTAATGAATTTAAATTAGAGACCATTAGAGACTTATTAAAAAATTAGATGAAATCTTTAATTTTCTTATTAAATTGTGAGGTCTTATTTTGGAGTTTGGAGCTGTTGTATGAGATCCTTATACTGAATAGGTATTTCATGTAAAAATAAATTAAATTGAGTGTGTTTAGCTTAAGTTCCTTACCATATTGTAATATAATAAAATAAATCTGAATCAATTAATTGTATGTATACCATCCATACCACCCAGAGAATGTCAAAATATTATATTTTCACAAGTACCTATATTGAAATAAAAACTATTTCTATGAAATAAATGTTGCCTATTTACAATTTTAATTACTTATCAATTGTTTCATTTAGTTTAATTTTAAGGAATTTTCCTATAAATAGCTCTCTTAAGTAAGTAGGTAATAGAATAATATCTATAATTTATTATACTCTAATGTGTCATTTACAACATATTTATTATTTTGTCAATAAATATAGATGTACATATTATATATTATTTAATAATACAATTTCAAGAAATTGTGTACCTAAGAGTAAAGTATTACATTGTATAATATATTTGGTAGGTATATGGTATTTGCTAAAATGAATATCAAAATAATATTAATAATATATTTTTCTTATATCTAATTAGTTAATACTAACATGCATGATAAATAGCATTGTAAATATTAAACTTTGGAACTGTTAGGTATAAGGCTTAATCATTTTATTTTGTACCTACCTATCACTATCATCTAATTCATAGGTTTAATAGTTTGTTTCTATTTCTTAGAAAAAATATAGTTATCGATCAAACATTTTTATCGTATGGAATATATAGGTCCCTATACTTAATAACTAAATAATTGTTTAAGTAATAGATATTATATTACTTAACTAATATTACCGTAAAAATAAAAATAAATTATTGTATGATTTTTCTAATATATTACTTATTATCTATAACATTAATCATTTCTGTATGCTTCCTGTTTGCGTTTTATCATTTATTTTTACTAGGGTCAGTCGGAAATGTGATTCCATTCTTTTTTCCTTACATGTTTTCACATGAATAATTTGTTAATTTCATTTATGGATTCAAAAATGTTTATCTAATCATATTATATAATATTTTATTCTGTTTAAACTGTAACTATATTAATAAAAAAATTCTCATCTTCTGTTGTGTGTGTAATCTGTGTATCTGGTGCACACTAAACATAGTATTATCTGATAATTTTATTTAAAAATATGCTGATTATGGAATTGAATACTTGTAATATAAATAATTCAAAATCTGAATTGAAATTATTAATTCTTATAAATTTAAATAGAGTATAGTATAAGAACTGTGCAATTCTTATTGCTCTTTCAGACTCGGATTGGGTTAGCTAGCTACCGAGAAAATCTAGATTAGTTAAGGTTGTCGGCAGGCCGCTCAAAATATGGGTCGGTCATGATTATTTGGCCAAGATTTTATTTTCATATTATAATGAGAAATTAGTAAGTACAAACTACAAACATTAGTAGAAATTATTAAACCATGCAGTAGCACAAGTTGTAGTCAAACGTTAGAATTCTTATAACTTAGTGGGCCGATACCTTGCCTACTCAGTGCTGTGCCTGATATTAACTTAATTAATTTTTGATATAATTATATTAGGTTTCGACTATCAAACAATACTTTGAAAATTGAAAGTAACTCTACAATAATAGTAAAACATTTAATCCAAAAGTAATTATTTGTATAGTCCAATACGGGATATAATACTATTTGAAGCAATTGCTTCATAGCTTCATAGCTTCAACATAGTTAATTATCATTTTGATGTAATAAAGGGGATGGTTGGTGGTAAAAATATTAAAAATGTACAATTTGCTTCAAAGACTCAAAAAGTTCGCGCCGCCACTGGTATAGTCTTAATATTTTTTAAATAATTAATTAAAACATAAATCAGGATATTGTCAAAATGTATGCAATTTTTAAAGAGTTAAATAATTGAGTTTTGGGCTCTGTAATTGCTAAGAATAGAACTAGAATTCTTTTATGGCCAACATGTCCATCCCCGAAAGATATTAATGATTCTGTATAGTTGTTGTTACAATAGAAACCTGGAAAAGTCTGTGTCCCATAGGCTATTATATAAACAAAAATATGTTTATGTGTTATTGATTTATTTTATTAATGTATGACATTGGCTTAATTTTGTTTATCATTTAACTAAAGTCCATTTAAAACATAGTTTTAATTGGGCTAAGCCAATTATTTTTCAATATTTCAATAAATAAATAATTATTATTTAGTGTTACGTAGTAGTACCAAAAGTATTATGTACCTACTATATAAAATAATAACAAAGTATAAAAATAAAAAAGTTATCATGGTTATAATTTTTAGATTTGCTTGTGCTCACAGTAGCTTCTGAAAAAAATGATGGTTTCAAGAGATTCATTGATTCTGCTAACCTAAATGGCCTTAAAACTAAAGTAAATATTATATTTTGTTGCTTAAAACTTGTATGAATTATTTTCAGTATTCAGTTTCTAATTTATGTACTTTTCCTCAGGTGCTTGGTGTTGATAAGCCATGGCAAGGAGGCAACATGAATAGTGTTGGTGGTGGTTACAAACTAAATTTGTATCTTGAAGCATTAGAGCCTTATAAAAACAATGACAATTTAGCAGTATTACTCACTGATGCGTAATACATTTTTTAATTACAACTATATTTCATTGACTAGATTACTAAGCTAATTACATAATGCTTTTTTCAGGTATGATGTTGTACTTTTAGCTAACAGCAGTACAATTCTAAAAACATTCACTGAATTTGATTCTTCAATAGTAATTTCAACCGAAAATAGTTGTTGGCCCGATAGAAAATTAGCAGACAAATATCCTACTGTTGATCTAAATGGTTATAGATTTTTAAACTCTGGAGGTTTGTTTACAATTTCATGTTAATTTCATTACATAATTTAAAATATAGTGAGTTAATACTTGTTATATATTATAAAATAATATTTAAATACTTAATATTATTTTATAATATATTGTTTAGGGGCTAACACAAAAATATAAGTGCTTATTAGATGTTATTAATGTTAAAACTTTTATTTAAACAGGTATAATTGGTTATGCTAGCCAATTGTATAAGCTTCTATCAGAGAAGCCAATTAAAAATCTAGGAGATGATCAATTGCATTTGACTAATTTGTATTTAAATAGCGAATTACGTGAAAAGCTTAACATTAAGTTGGATAATTATGCAAAATTGTTTCAGAATGTCTATCTTGCTGAAGGTAAAAATACTTTAAAAACCGTTCTATCTAAATTTTAGATTTTCAGCATGAACAATGTTATATAATTGATCAATTTTTAAGCTTACAGCATTTACATGTTTATGTATTTCAAATACATTTATTTATTTACCATAATATTCTAACTTATAATTTACAAATTTATAATCTCTTGAACTATAGTTTGTTACATTTTTTTTTGTAATTATAGACGATATAAAACTGAAACTTGTAAATAGATCATATGTATTGGAAAATATTAATTTTAATACTCAACCAGTTGTTATTCATGGAAATGGATTGTCTAAAATAACATTCAATAGCTACACAAATTATATTCCAAATAAGTGGTCTCCTGAGAGTGGCTGTAGATCGTGCTACGACAACAATCTAGATCTTTCAACGCTCAAGGTTCTTTCACTTTTAACTTTTCTATACAAATTTGTAATCAATTTATGTACCTACAAACCACGAAGACCAGGTTAAGAAGACTAAACTTATACTGCCACCCACTCAGAATAACGGCCTGTAATGAGTAGCTTGATTAAATGGCCATGTGTTGGGCTACAGTTGCAAAGTTTGCCACTTTAACCCATGTAGTGTAGACATGGTACATGTTTTTACCTTTTTTGAAAAATATATATATTATTTTGAACTATGACCCATTATAAGTTGTATAGCATATAGTATAGGCCCTGTACACATTAATTATAGATTCATACGTGTGTAATGTGCATATGTGTATAATTCATAGAAAAAATTTATTATTGCGTAAATAATTAAATTAAACAATCTGCTAACACTATATCTAATTATCTTACATATAATATTATATATCTATGTTCACGGTTAGTCTAAGTTTAATACTAATCGATACACCGTACACATCACACATGGCGTGTCTTCTTGAATAATTGTGTTGTACTGATATGTACCGTTGGTACATTCAAATTTTTCTTAAGGATGTTGAATGTTAGTGAAATATACACATATACACATGCATGAATGTGTAATTTTACAAACTATTATACTTATAATGTGTCATGGTTCAAAATAATGCATATATTTTCCAAAAAAAAAGAGTAGAAAAAATATGCTGTGTGGGTAAATTTGTTATAGTAGCAACCTTTAAGACCACAGTGCAGCCTGTCGCCATTTAATTGTGCAGTTCATTTTGGGACATTCTCAGAAGTAGAGTTTGGTCTCTTTATTCTAGTCTTCATGGTAGCTACAAACTGTAATTTGTGAATGTTTGTACATTTCAGGAAGAAAATTATCCAAAAGTGCTGTTATCTATAATAGTTGATAAACCAACTCCATTTTTTGATGAGTTTTTAGAAAAAATTGAAAACATTGATTATCCAAAAAGCAAACTGTGTTTGTCTATAACTACACTCGTAAATATTTCTTTTTAATCAATAACTGAATTAGGTTTTACTCTTCATTTTCTATGTATTTATTTTAAACTTTTAGGTGGAATATCATAAAGAGCACGTGGATAAATTTGTTTCTAGAATAGGTGACAAATATAATGGATCATTTGTGTTTCATAAGACTGCAGAAGAAAACATTCATGCAAGGCACTTTTCATTGTAATTATTGTTTTAAATGTTTATATTATTTATATTTGTAATGTATGTGCTAATTGTTAATTATTATTTTTACAGTTCATTATGCACTAGCAAATTATGTGACTATTTATTTTACATTGAAAGTGAAGCACATTTAGATAATCCACAGACATTAAAAACATTAATTCAACATAATAAGTAAGGATATATCTGTCAATTATTTATAATAAATAATGATGCATTTATTTTTCATTTAGAAAAATTATTGCCCCTATGCTCACACGACCATTTAAAGCTTGGTCTAACTTTTGGGGTGCCTTATCTAAAGAAGGATTCTATGCTAGATCGTTTGACTACATGGATATTGTCAATTACAATAAAACGTAAGTCTTAATCAAGAAAAATGTATTTTATGTAAGACGCACATTCATTAATAATTATTTTTCATTATGATTCAAATGCTATACTGAAATCTGTTTTGAAACTTCTTCGGTCTATACTGTATTTATTGTCAGCTGAACACTCGTACACACCAGCATCCATTTGTGTTCCTGGATCAATTTCCAATTTAGATTTTATGCTATCTTCGGCAATATTCCATTCATGAACCTTAAATAAAACAATTTAGTTTAAATTCTATTAAATATAAATTACATAATATTGTTTTTATTATTATTTAAAGAACAAATTATTTAAAATATATTTAGTAAGTACTTCTGAGTTGCTTATGTAATTATTTAATTTTATGTCATTATTAGATAATATTTCATCTGATTCTTTGAAATTATTCTTTAAAATATTTTACTTACATGGTGATTGTAATGATAATACAGTTCAGTACCATCTTTATACCAAGTAATTTGAGGTCTCGGATTTCCTCTGGCTACACAAACAAATACTATTTTGTGTCCAAGCACATATTCGTAATCAAAATGTGATGCCATGACTATTTTTGCCCCCTAAAATAAAATAATTATAATTCAACTTCTTAACTCTATCAGCAAATATTTGGCACCATACATCATTATGATTATAGTATTGATCAGATTCTGGGTCTCTGTATTTTCCTGTAATAGGTAATCCAATCTGCACTCTACTTTTTGATCTACTTCTTCCTCGGCCACGTTTACCACAAACATCTGTTATAATTGCAAATATACATGCTGTGATTAATGCAGCTACTACAATGTTCTTAAATCCCATTCTGCACTCACCTGAAATCATCAAAAAACGTTATTTATGGTTCAGTAACTTAAATTAAGAAGTAGTATCTCTGAAAAATAAATAATCTACATTATTAAATATTTTGTTAAAAGAAGTTTAAATTGTAATATTCATTACTTGTGTTGTTTTTTATTCTCTGTTGATAACTTTGATATGTATTCAAATTTTAGCAGAACTTAATGACCTTTTTTTATTTGCTATGGCTTAGCACAACTTTATTCTGTTGACTACAATGAAAAACTAACTATGTCCTCGTCATGTTGGATGCAATTCTGACCCTATCCTGGTTTATGATCAATTAAAGGGCACTTCCTTTTAAATTGCTAATTCTATTAAATTCCCCTGTTGCATTTTATAATAACAAATTTGCTTAAAAAAAAAAACAGATTTAACATATTGATGAAATATTTATGTATGATAATGTTTTAGAGGGATCTGGAATGTACCTTATATAAGTAGTTGTTACTTAATGAAAGGTACAATTTTGGAAAATAAATACACTAGGCCATCATACAAAGAAGATAACTTGGACTATGATATGGCATTTAGTAAATCATTAAGAGAAAAGGTATTTTGAAGTCATAATTTTAAAGTTGAAGATTATTTATGAAAATGTTATTTTTAGGGGGTTTTTATGTATATTGATAATCAATATACTTATGGGCATTTGATCGATTCAGAATCATTTGATATTACTCTTAAAAATCCCGAAGTATACCAAATATTTGAAAACAGATATGATTGGGAACAACGTTATATTCATCCAGAATATATGGAAAATTTCAATCCAGATAAAAAACCTGCTGAGGTAACAATTTGACAGAATTTTAACTAAATATTTAAAATTATTCTTCATGTATATATTTATTTTAATGTTAAGCCATGCCCAGATGTATTTTGGTTCCCAATTGTAACTGAACAGTTTTGCCAAGAATTCATTGAAATTATGGAAAATTTTGGTCAATGGTCTGACGGTACAAATAACGTAAGTCATTCAGTAAATATACTATTTTTGATATAAAAATTTGAACAGCAAATGACATAAATTGAATTGAAGGATACACGCCTTCGAACTGGTTATGAAGCTGTACCAACCAGAGACATACACATGAATCAAGTTGGACTTGAGAAGCATTGGCTCGAATTTCTTCGCTCATATGTTCTGCCAATACAAAAGAAAGCATTTATTGGTTACATTCACGACGTATGTGGGAATGAAAACCAAACAAAATTTAAAACAATCTAAAAGCATGTGTGTGTTCTCTGCTTGACATTAAAAATTAATCATAATATAATTATTACCTATGTGTATATAAATACTCAATAGTAATATGTAAGAGTAATTATTAACAATAGCGCATGATAACCTCCAACCGTAGGATCCCAGATTGGATAATGGATATGAAGCTGTGCCAACAAGAGACATTCATATGAAACAAGTTGGGTTACAAAATGTGTGGCTAGAGTTCTTAAGACTATTTGTTTCCCGATTACAGGAGCATGTGTATCTTGGCTATTACTCAGATGGCGTAAGCTGCTTTTTTACTTTTAATTATTTTTTAATCATAAACTAACTGTACATTGTTTTCATATTTGTATAAAATGTTTGTTTTTGCTTGCTTGCTTTAACTAACTTATGTTCTACTGTGCAATTTATGTATTTTACATATCAAAACAGTAAGGGGTTTTTAAGCCTACAAGTTAAACTATAATTTTGATTCAGTTTAAAAAAAATTTTTTTTAATTTAAATGAAGATTATTTATCATATCATATTAACACCTATACTGAATTATAAATGATTAGTTATATATTTAATCAGACATTACAATGCTTATTACTTAACCTAGAATATAAAATATTTTTGGTTGTTATAAACAAGTGCCCACTCATCTATTACTAGCACCCAAAATAATTTTTTTTATCTGAATATTAATTTATTATACTTTTAAATTTATTAAATTTATTTTAAGTTACATTAAAAAATCGTATATGTACCTAGTTCAGCAGTATATGATAATACATTTATTGACAATAACATTGACATAAGTGTAATATTAACAAAGTATGCACGCTTGGCAGTTATTGTTCTTTTTTCTGTTTACTCTTTCATATTATTGCTGCCATTAATATATACAGTCAATTTACTGAGTAGGTACAGTGCAATATGTTTTTGTGGATAATTTTATATTCTTGGCTCTTCATTGATTTTCAATTCAAATAATCCAATCGATCTTCCCGTATTTTCAATATTACAGTAGAGCTTATTTCATGGCTGCTTCACTTCTTGCTATTAATTAAATATTCAATATCATCTGTATAAACGCGCAGATTTGCCATGATTTGTTGATAATGCTTCCTACTTAAATAATATCTTTAACATCAGCCTCATGTAAAAAAAATTGAGTGGCATGGCCCATAGGATGTCTTCTCATCAATTCCTGAATCTATGTGAAACTGATTTCTCGTTGACCTTATTTTAAATTTTGCTCTTGTGTTCAACAGTCATTATCATATAAAGGTCCCCACACACTGCAACGGTGGCGGTGGCGGTAAAATGAGTCCGGACACAATTTACAGCCACCGCCAAGACAAAAGAATTTTACCGCTACCGCTGCAGTGTATGGGGACCTTTATGATCTGTTATACTCTTTTATCGGGGGATAAAATTATAGCACTATATCAAAGGTTATAGGCTTATTGAAAAAATTAAAACTAAATAACACAAATAATATTTTTTTTTAAGAAATTAGTTAGAACTGGCATTTTGGAAAAAAAAAATGTTTGTAGTTTCTATAGAACATTATGATGTCAATGTTATGTTAAATGTATTACATTTTAATATTTTAATGCATGTCGCCTGGTTAATTGTGATTAATTACTGTCTTAAATATAAATAATAATCAATGACTAACATTACTTTACAAACACTTTTATAGCCTCCTCGTTCTCTGATGAACTTTGTCGTCAAATACAACCCACTTGGTCAGGCTTCACTGAGGCCTCACCATGATTCTTCTACCTATACCATCAATATAGCTTTAAATTCTCCTGGAAAAGATTATCAGGTAAAGTAGTTTCCGCACTAATTATTGTGGTCTTGTTTCATTTTATTTATTATTTTTATATTTTTACAGGGAGGTGGCTGCCATTTTTTGAGATACAAGTGTAAAGTTACAGACATGAAAAAAGGTTGGATGCTAATGCACCCGGGACGGCTCACCCATTACCATGAAGGACTTGAAGTCACCAATGGCACAAGATATATTATGATATCTTTTGTTGATCCTTAACAACATTGGCATTTTTGAGATATATACAACAGTCAATAACTAGACGACGAACAAATATTTTTTTTTACATCCTGTGTTTTACTTTTAGATTTTTTACATTTGTTGATTTTTTTATACCCAATTTAACCGAACAATAATTAGTCATTTAGTTAATAGGTGATTTTATAATCACAGACATTTTTAAATTTATTTTTATAAAATATAAATTATAATAGATACCTCAAATTATTATATGTTATAGTAGATTTGCGATGATAACTCATAACAAACATTTTTTCTTCCACCTTGAAGTGTTATATTTTGGGTATATAATTCAAAAACCAAGTCAAATTTATTTTTATTCTGTTTGAAGTTTGAATTTTTGTGATTTGGCTGAGTTTATAATAAAAATCATTCTTTTATAAAATTTACAGACTAAACAATTTGATATTATTGTGATTGAGTTGAAAATAAAAATTACATACTAAATATTATAATAACCTGCTTAAAATGTTTTTGAGTTTTAATTTTATTATGTGAGAGCAAATGATATTATAATTTTGCATTTGATATAAAGAATATAAGACGTGCCGAAAACAATCCAGATATTTGGACTGTTTTATATCTAGCACTGTTATCACTCAGCACAAAATAGTGGTGTCTTATAGGCCATAACATTAAATATGAAATCAAATATATTATAATTGTATACTATTCTTAAAATGATTCTGAGCAAAACTTTACCATCACAGATCATGACACATGCTGACAATATTCAAATGTATTTGTTAAGGTAAAATATTCAAAAAATCAAATGTAGGTCGGTTTATTAAGAAAAATAATATAAAATTTAAGTACACTTTTTTAAGTATTTACAGAAAATGATAGTTGTAAAGAAAGAAATATTTTAAGACCAATTACATAATTACAATTTAAAAAATATCAAAATCTTTAATACTTTTACATTTTTATGACTACTATTACACTAAGTGTTTATTACAAGTCAGTTATTTAAACAATTATAGATAGTCAAACTGATAGCAATGATTTAATATCACTGATCGCAAAAGCATATATTTTATCAGTACATATTTCTTTATTCTTGTCACATAACAAGACTTAAAATGTTAATCATATAAAATAATATAAATGTATTAGTTTTTTTTTTGAATCATTTAACTTATTTTTTAACATTTATTTGTGAATCTTCATATGACGTACAAGGACGCTGTTTTCAAAAAAACCTTTCTTACAAATGTGACATTGATACGGCTTCTCACCAGTATGTTTTGACCTCAAATGAACAATCAATGTATCTTTCCGTGTATATGGTTGTTGACAATAATTGCACGTATATATAATTTTCATATGGTGAATTCTTGCATGACGCAATAAAGTATGGACAGATGAAAATTGTTTGTGGCAATCCTTACAATCATATGGTTTCTGATTTACTTCATGATTCCTTCTGTGGACTAACATTGTGTCGTTACGAGAAAATGTTAAATGGCATATGTTACATTTATATGGGGATTCACCAGTGTGTAATCGAGTATGAACACGAAGATTGTATCTAAGAGAGAATTGTTTCTTACAAAATTTACATTTAAATTTTTTTTTATAAGATTGATTATGAATTATTGTATGTCTTCGACAATTGGACGGATCATTGAATTGTTTGCCACAAATTGTACACTCAAATATTTGTTTTTTTTTATGTTTTTTCAATTGTTCACATTTAATATTTTTTGAATGGACCCTTTTGGAATTATTATTTGTGCAATAATCATTGTTCGAAAAATGATATCTCATATGAATAATGAGCAATTGTTTACTGATAAATGATTGATGACATAAATCACAAATATAGATGTGTTTTTTACTTTTACTCTTGTACTGATCAGTTGCATCATTACAATTAACTAAGTCTTTATAATTTGTTCTTGGTGAATCAGTAAAATTGGAATAATAACCAGCATTGCATTTTTCTTTGTTCAAAAAAGATTGTATTCCATTTTTCTCAATGACAATTTCACTTGTAAATACAGTATTTCCAATAGTTTCTTTTTCAATTGTGATAGTTTTGTCGGTGTATTCTATTTTTAATTTATATTTATCGTCTTTTTCATTTAGAACAGTACCACTGAAAGATAAAAATTATTTCAATAAATTAGTTACCATCAAATTAACCATTTTTCAAGTCTCGTGTGACTAAATAATTAAAGATATATATGTTGTGGGTATTAACAATTTAAAAAGGATTTAAAAATACATTTTTAACTTGTCAGTAAAAAATTATTTCACAACTAGAAGATTAAAAGATAATTTTTAATTAGGATTCTACGGCACTAGGGGCGTACACAAATAGGGTGATATTTTAATGTCAAATGTTTACTCTCACGTGTAAGTACTTTTAATTTTTAAATAAATGGTAAAAAATTAAGTTTTTTAGAAATCCTAACCTTGAGTTTCACCTAAAATAATATTTTTCACACAATTGTGATTTTTTTTATCCTCAAACTATAACACCCAATTTTTGTTAGTGTTCCGCTGTTCCCCTGCCCTACAAATATCAAATACCATGTGCATACCACTGATCAGCACAACTGTATTGAGTGCTAATTTAACACTATAAACTTATAGCAGTCAAAACAATCAAATACAATTAAAACAAATAGATAAATGGTTAAAGTATGTTAATTCACTTACTATGGTTGAAAACTATTATCTAAGTCTTCAGGTTCTTCTTTAAAGAAACAATTATCAGTTTCTAGATTATTTATTACGTCAATTTCAGTTTTAACTTTAAAGTTTTCTTCTGTATATTTTTCAAACCTATGGACAGTATTATTAATGTTTCTGATATAAAAAACAATGCACATATTACATAATCCAAATTGAAAGTACATTTATAATAAATCTCACTGTATAACTTTTAAGACTTACTTATCAATTGGAAAAAGATGACCACTTTCACCATAATCATGATGCATGGTAACTTCTTCTTTCACAGAACTTAAAAGAGGAGTATCAAAATAAATATCATTTTCATTTATAGTAGAAAGATGACTTTCTTCATTTATTGCAAATTCAGATTGCTCCACCCACACTCATAGTATTATGAATATAAAGGGAATGTTTCTGTGGACAAAAATTTAATTTTAAATTTAGAGTAGGTAGTCACTAGGAACTAATTATTGAATACAGCTATAAACATATCTAAATTAACTCATCAAAAGAGTTAATTACCTCAAATATACTACTACTTAAACAAACATATTCAATGTCACTAGTACAGCGTTTCCCAAACTGTATACCAAAGTGTCCATGAATTATTATTTATTATTGTTAGATTGGGTGATATTATTATTACAGGTCCTCAATCATTTTTACTTTACTCTTAACCAGCGGTTCCCAATTTATGGGCCGAGGGCAATGTGGTAACTAGGCCGTGGACGTTGATCAAGAGTCCAAGCCAAGGGTCATCAAATGACAAATTTTAATTGGCATCAATATTACGATACATTTTTACATTTCTTCTAATGTCTTAATTGTGGGTGTTTATATTTTATACATGTATATTAGGTAAATGGACCTCAGAGTTTTTTTTTCATAGGTAATTATATATGCGGTGGTCAACACAACTAAAAAGGTTGGGAACCGCTGCTCTAAGCCTAAGAATCTAAGGGGTCCGGTGGAGGAAAAGTTTGGGAAATGCTGCATTAGAATATACTTAGAGTTCTGGCTGTTCTGTGATGTTATTATCAATATTTTAATTACTAAAATTAACGTTTACTATCTCAACATGCTTGGCATTTAAGAAATTTATTGAGCCGTAATAGTTTGGACTAATGGATAAAAAAAAAAAAAAAAGGAAATTTATTAAAATAATGAAATGCTAAATGATGTAGGTGCTTATTGATGTATTAAGAAAAAAATCAATTAATTAACTTACTTGGCAATTTGACTATTTGAGTACTTGTATTAGTTAAAAGTTTATTTTTATCTTCATTTCATGTAATTGTGGACTTGTGGTAGATGTTACATTAATTGTATGGACAGCACATGGCACTTAGTACTTTCCGTTGACACTTAGTGAATAATTACGCATTCCTCCAATTAGAGGCTTATTATAACTCTCAGATTCAAAATGTAATAAGCTAATGGAACATTAATACATTATATATAAGCTTTAACAAATTTAAAAATATATATTTTTAATTGATTTAAGCATGTTATTCTATATCTCACCATTTTTAATATTTAAATTTGATTTCCCACAAGCGTCTGGTAAAATTTATCAATTTCATCTTTTTAATCCATAAAACGAACTTAGACTTAGACTTTTATACAGTATACATTTGCATCTACTTTTACAATGATTTAGTGAGCACCGAGGAATTATTATTTTAAATAAAATACCTACACAAAAATAAAATAATAATAATATGTACCTATTTAAATTTAAAAGATTATCAAATAATTGAATAACTACCTTATTAGTTACTAATTAATTCAATTACAAATCAAAAGTAAAACAACATAATTGAGCACAATTTTAAATTTCAATATCATTAATTATCATTAAAGTTTTAATCACGATTTTTAAGTATGTCTATCGCGTTTTCCACAACACTGCACCGACTGCACTGACGGAGTCTAGTGCACATATAGGTATGATTGTTTTGACAAAAAGTGTCAGCAACTAAAAGTGTGCAACTAAGCGTTCGTTTTGAAAAAGTGTGGTTGTACACGCTGTTTTTTAATTGTTTTAAAAAAGTGTTGATTTAAAAAAAAAAGTGTACATTTTGATCACACCGACCCACAAGCACGTGTTGCCCGGTGTAGGTGCTGATCGTTACCATTTCTTATCAGCGAATAGTTGATTCTGTAATTCTGCAGATTAAACTACTACTATACCAAACACGATTATAAAAAATAAAAATAATATAATATAATACAGATATTTGATCACACCCCTTACACTTTACCCAGACACTACGCTAATTATTAGTGTACACTTTTTTTTCAAAACGAACAAACCAGGTTAATTAAGTTTTAGTTAAGTTCCATCCATGGCTAATTAACTAGTTATTTAGCCATAGTACCATCTAGAAAACTGGTGCGCACCGGATGATTAGTGGTTTGAAAACTTTAGATCATATTTTACAAGTATATGATCTAAGCACAGATGATCTAACCTTGAATATTCTGTGATCTAAGTGCAAAACGATAATAACAATGATAAT